TTCAATTGGGCCATAAGTAATGGTCATCTATAAATGAGTCCACACCTGCTCTATAAATCCTCATTTATGAAAAACACAGCTTGGAAATCAACTGTCCCAAAACCATCCAGTTATTTTTCAGAAGTGATTTTCTGCTTGAATAAACAATGGAATAGATGCAGGACAAGGAAATGATACAGTAGTAAATGTAAGACTATTGCTTCGACCAGTCTGGCGCCACTCAGGCTAATGAAAGCAAAGTTCTGGTGTCAAATTTTGCAAAGCTACTTTTACATTCATGGAAAGAACAAATATGTCTAATGTTAGCTTTCAGATGCAACATTGGAAGATCTACCAATGTTAAATATAGATAAATATTATTTCAATGCAAATGGACTGTTTTTTTCTGCTAGTTTCAGGCACTAATGTTGGATTCTCCGGGTATTTTTCAGCCATTCTTAGAAGAATCCATTATGTCAGCCTTGCGTGTTGCTGTTTTTAATCTAATAATCCAAGCGCTAATTAAGCAAGTACAGATTAACCCATCAATAGAACAAATGACTTTCTCCACCAAATAAAGTTGCTATAAAGAATAATGCAGGACTTACCCTCTTGTGCTCTCTGCTGCTGAACTTCTATCTGGACGGTTTGCAGTTTTGGCTCTGGCTGATGGTGAAGCATGGTCGATGAAGGTATGGAGTTTTCCACCTGTTTAACTTGGGGGACTTCTGGGGATTTAGGCATCTGTAGCTCAACTTTTCTAGCATTGGATTCTTCTGTTCTTCTCTGAGGCAACTCAGGAATTTTAGAACTTGGAGACTCCCCTCGGAGCTCATGAGGCTTTCCCAGAGTTATCTCCGCTCTTCTTGGAGTGGGCTCAGGAGGTTTGTGGCCTGGTAGTTCTGCCCTCTTCAAACCAAACCGGGAAACTGCTGGGGCAGAATTTTCCACCTGCTTGGATGAGATGTCGATGGAGATTTCTGTTCGTCTTGACATGGTTTCTGGATGCCGCGATCCCGCCAGGTCGATTCTCCTCAATGCTGATTTTGGAGATCTTTGGCCTCCGATTTCTGCATGTCTCAGGAGTGCTTCTGCATTTCTAGGGCTTTGTTCTTGAAATTTCTGTGCAGCAGCCCCTCTTAGGAGTGGGTTTGGAGTTCTGCGGGGCTGGACAGAGGGGTTCGAAGACTGGTCAACCTCCTCAACCTCAAAGGACCTCTTTAGTGCTGAAAGAAACAGAACATTAACATTAAACTATTTCATTTGTATGTAAATGATATCTTCTGAAACACTTAACTGAATACTATGATGACTTTCACAGCATATTGAGTTAATTCTTGCCCCCTTTTTTTTTTTTCAGTCATTGTAATTAATAGACGTATTTTTTGAAACTTATTGCAGCAAAAATGTCTAAATTATTTTTAAATGCTATTGTGGTTTATAGACATACGTATGTAATTGGCAATACCACAGTGTTATATGGAAAGAATTGCAGTCTATTTTTATTACTTTAATTTGCTAATACATCGTATTAAGACTGTATTCTGTCTTGCTGAATGTATTGAGGTCTAGTTTATCTTCTTTTTTTTAATTTACTTTTTATTTTGGTTTTACGTGAATACAACAGCATTTACATTTAGCTTTAATAAGCTTTAAAAAAGAAAGCGTTTTCAAATCAATTTAAGAAAAGAAACAAGGAAAAGAAAGAGAAAAAGTTTGTCTTCTTACCATTACTTACTCTAATCCCATTTACAATTTAAAATCTACAATTTTAAATTCTTCATGAAGAAAACTCCTACTGTTCTTCTACTGACCCTGTGAGGTGGTCTGTGTGCGCTGTTCATGTAGGAGATTAAATAGGATTTAGAGTAACGTCAATGGAGAGAACGTTTTGATTTTAGCACAGCTGCAGCATGCTGGAATGTAATTGTAGACCACTGATTTATTTCATGTGTCTTTGAATTGCTCTTACTGGAGGTAGATACAGTATACTTTAAAAGAGAAAGTCAGAAACATATTTTACCTTTTAAATGTGAGTAGTGAAAAGCTCATGAAATAGATGGTCCCCCTACTGATTACTCTCCATGCCACTAAAGCACATTTCTCAACCTTTTTTCTATCACAGCACTCTTTAAAAAAAGCTACCGTATATATCGTAGGGCACCCCGGTATAGAATGTTAATGAAAAAATAACATGTGGTTTCCTCCCAAAAATCTATATCAGACCCTCACAAACCCCCCCCCCCCC